CTGGGAATGTAATCTATCTTCCAAAGGAGGCTATGCTGAAGGGGAGAGACCTGAGCCCAGATCTTGGCCATGTTTGCTGCTCTTCACCCCCTACATAAAGAGACCACTGAATCCTAGACTACTGGATACAAGAAGGGCCAAAGGCCTGAATGGCCAACTGTTCTCTGAGGAGGGTTTAAAGACCCTCCTCAGCATCACCTCCCTCCCAGGGTGATTATAGGGAGGGAAGTCACAAAAAGACCCTCAACTCCTATGCTTTGGCAGAATAATGGGCCATTCACATTGAAGGAACCCCAGTCCCACACCTGGCTCTCTCAGGCAGACCCCAACTGCCTCATTGTCCTAAACCCGCCACTGTGTCTTGTACCCGGGTATCAGCCATGGGAAGCTGACACCCCAGCTGGGACATTCCTGGCCCTTCCCCCACCTCTCCAGCCACTTGGCGACTCAGAGCTGATGTGGTGGGGGAGCACCATTCATCCCACACTCCTCACTCAGAATTTTTCTGTGCTCAAAAGTCCTCAGAGAGAAGTCCTCACAACTATGGGAAAATAGGAGGGAATAATTAGGAAAGCCATTAGCGTCTCAAGGCCCATCTGAGAGGGATTAAAGGATTAGAGGCTGCCTTCGAACAGGTCTCCCCTTGAAGATTGTTGCAGGAGTTTATTTTCAGGGCTTTTCTCCCTTTCTTTTTCCCTGGGTTGGGGGAGACTGAAACCCTTGGTGGATCCTCTCTTCAAGACTGCAGGAATCAAGACACTCTAGACATGTTCAATGGCTAGAAGAGTTGGAGCAAGCAGTGTCCTGTGCCTCCTCTGGGAGGAGTGAAGGGAGAGCAGAGAGCTACATAAGCCAGGGTCCCTCAGGGAAGCCCAGACAGGCCCACTGGAAACAGGTGCTCCTTAGTCCCCCAAAAGACCTCCAAGGGCTCAGCCCTGTCTAGCAGGCCTCTCCCATGCCCTCTGGCTCTAGCTGAGGGCAGTCTCTCTGCCCCACTATTCAAGGCAAACTGAGCCAGAGGCGTCCACCCTTTTCCAGATAGCCAGAGGCCGGAGGTCCGAGAAGGGCTCCACAGGAAAGGCCACTGTCTGTTTGCCTGAGTCATGGCTACTGCCTGGCAGGGCACAGTGCAGCAGTTCAAGCCACACCATGTGGATGGGAAGGGGGTTAGCAAATGTGGATGAGGAGGCCTACCGGGCAGGCAGGCCTCAGCCACCCTGATGACAAGGACAGTCCCTTATTTCTGAGTCTCCCTCCTACACCTCTCTGGCCACATGGTGGGGTCTTGGCAGATGTCAGGTGACTGTTGCAGTCAGGTGTGTCACCAAGTCCTGTTACAGTCTATCTCACTGTCCTACTGGGATGATTTCCCCAGGCCAGGGGCTGAAACCACCCAGGGAAGCTATCAAGCAAGAACTCCAGACTAGACATCACAGAGAGTTAACAGTTGCCAAGAGAAATGGGGTCCATTAGGGTAGACACCCAAGCTCTCCCTAACCAGAGTCTTCACATACAGCATCCTGACCCCTGGCTATGGTAAGGAAGAAAGACCCTGGCATGAGACCATCTAACAGCCACATACTAGCCTCCCTGGATCCAGTTTGTGGGGACTTCCGAAGGTGTAACTTGTCCTTTCCATTTCTAATGAACACTTATTCACTAAATGCTTGCTAAGCCTCTGTACCTACCAACTTGGAGCTAGCAAGGCCTGAGGCCCTGGGCTGTCTGGGAGAGAGCAGCTGTTCCCAAGATGCAGGTAGGCAGCTCAGCACCATGCTGAATGGCAGGTAATAGGTGATGCGTGAGCAGCGCCCTGGTTCAGCACCACTGAGGCCCATGATTAGTGGCCCTGGTTAGCAACTGCCAACAGGAAGCCCAGTGCTTGGATTGGTGGGACCAGAAAGGCCAGGAGGAGGGATGAATGGCTTGTAGCCTGAGCCTAAATAGGCAGACATCACCATAGTGCTGGGTGTCTGAGCAGAGAGCTGGGGTCTGGGGGACCCTGCCCCCACCCCAGGGTTCCTTGACCCTCCATGGTGCAGCCTCCTCCGTGGTGTTGGGGCAAAGTGAAGCATGAGGAATTGTGGGGTGGAGGGGCCTCCGTCTGCTCCTTTAGAACCAAAACCCAGACAGCAGCCATGGGATGGAGGCCAGTTTGTAAAAGCCTGGGTGAAATGAGCTAGAAGGGGATTGGGAACAAGTCCCACAGTGTCCTGAGGCACATTCCTTGCTCTGGGGAGACGGAGATGGATGGTGCTGAACAGG